TTTTTTGTTTTCCCTAGGGGATACAGTTATACCTCTATATATCCCCCAGTGTGGAGAATGCAAGTTCTGTAAGAACCCTAAAACTAATCTGTGCCAGAAGATAAGGTTTGTATGATTTTTCATTTTCACGTGTGGTTTGGCATTTGTTCAACATGCACCAGATCTAGTTGTGAAACGTGAATGGTGGGAGGTGCCTCTGGAGAATAAATTTCTTGATGTATCATTTAATGACTTGGGAAGTGCATGCATTAGGGAGGTAGGCAGTACTTTCTATTCTCCTTAACATGTAGGTTCTTTTTTGACTTTTTATAAAAAGTGGTTTGGCTGTTTTTGTGTATGTGAGGGTGTGAGCTGCTAGCTTGCATCCACAGCTTTGGAAACACAAGCACTCTTACTCTATCTTTAATCCCTGCTTAGGGGAAATACTTCAGGGAATGTAGCTTGTGGAGTAAGCAGCAAATCTGTTTTGTGGTGCAGAGTTGTATGGCAAGCCCTCTTTGCCTTCACTCTGCTTCCCAGCTGAATTTCCAGATAGGTCCAATAAGCAATCAAGGTGATGGAGAAGGGAAGGCTGTGCTGTGTTTGGGAGTGATTTCCTGTAAATGCTGTTTGATAGGTGGTCTAGCTGTGGTGCATTAAGTAGATTTAAGCGGTCGTAAAAATCAAGATCTATGCCCATAGTATCTAATTTGTGCAAGCTTTTAGGTTCAGTGGCATGTTTCAGAAAAGGAGGCGCACTTATGCAGCGGTACCCCCGTGTGTTTAATGGATACTCTCTGGTGAGGATGGTCACTGCTTAGATTCTGAGTGTCCCCTCCTGTCTTTGCTTTAAGAATCACGCAAGGGAAAGGACTCATGCCTGATGGTACCTGCAGGTTCACCTGCAAAGGGAAGCAGATTTACCACTTCATGGGGACTAGCACCTTCTCAGAGTACACTGTGGTGGCTGACATCTCAGTGGCCAAGATAGATGCTGCAGCACCCCTCGATAAAGTGTGCCTGCTGGGCTGTGGCATCTCAACTGGCTACGGGGCTGTTGTGAACACGGCTCAGGTAAGGGCTCTGCTTGTCTCCTGCTTTTCCCTGTGATCAAATGGCTTAGCAACGCTACACCTGAGCTAGAGGACACAGCCAGCGTAGGGACTGGTTCAGAACACTAACTGTGAGGCACCAAATTTCTGCTTCTTTATTCTCTTTAACTGCTGAAGTTTAGCCAGGAATTTCTAATCTCTCCGTAAAGACCAGAACAGCTTAGAAGAACCTCATGACTTGTAGAGGAAGACAGTGAAATATTTTACATCCTACTTTGAAGAGCAGGGTAAGACAGAGCTGCTTATTGAGTGTGCATGGGGCCAGAGCAGGCTATGGGAGCCAGGTGCACGGTCACTTTGGAGTGTTTGGGGCCTTAGATTTCAGTAGCCTGACGTGTGTGGGGGTGGAATTATGGCTGAGATGGGAAGTGGCTGGTTTTTGCAAAGCTGTTGTAAAAGCATCGAGTATGTCCTTTGACATCTGCCTTCCATTCAGCTGTGTAGAATTACTCCACAGCTAAGCCTCACCAGATTAGTTCTTCCTCATCTTTAGGCAAGAAAGTCAGGCTTGGCACTTGAAGAGCTTATTGGATGAAACTTCTGCACAGTTCCCCTTCTCTAAGTGGTAGAGTGTTGTAGCTGCATGTATTTGCTCACACATCTTCAATACAGACTTCTTAACGTGTTCTACACTGACAAGGAAGGAGGAGTTTTCTTGGTGTTGCTGATGCTCTTCTCTCACTCTTTCAGGTGGAACGTGGCTCAACCTGTGCTGTCTTTGGATTAGGAGGAGTTGGGCTGGCAGTTATTATGGGCTGTAAAGTAGCAGGAGCATCCCGGATCATTGGCATTGACATTAACAAGAACAAGTTTGCCAAAGCCAAAGAGTTTGGAGCCACTGAGTGCATTAACCCTCAAGACTTCAAGAAGCCCATTCAGGAGGTGCTGGTTGAGATGACTGATGGTGGGGTCGACTACTCGTTTGAATGCATTGGTAATGTGGGAGTCATGGTGAGTG